GAAAAAATAGTTCTGCTTGACCAGTCAGTTCGTAACTCTGGTGTTCATAATTCTGAGTTTCTACTGTATTAGCTCATAATTAGAAGTCACTCTTTCTAGCAGCAGGTGCATCTGAGAAGTAGGAAATGTTCTTAGTTAAAAAATAGGCCTCTTTCTATCTCTCCCTGCAAACAGAAGGATAGAGCTAGTCAAAAAAATTTCAGATGGAATAATTTTCCATTGGAAAATTCTGATTCCACAGAATCTGAACATTGTCTGGGAATGTGTCTGATCCATCAATAGTTTCAACAGAAACCAGATAGGTTGGCCTGCTGCTGTCCTGCCAATCTGTCCTGCTCCTGAGCTATCTAGGAAGCAAGCTGAAAAATTCCATTTCGGTTTTCTTACAATTGATTTATTTATTTTTTGAGAATTTTCCTCTCATGAAAAGTGTTTGATTTTTTATTTATTATTTATTTATTTATTTATTTATTTTAACTTTTTGCCCCAATTTGGTAAGAAATGTTTGTTTTCTCGAATAGTGCTTGTTATTTATGTAATACCAAATGTGTACATGGCACTTAAGAGATGGTGATTAGTACAAGAAACTTAGAACTGTTATATTCAGAATCTCTTGGGATATTTGCATGATAGGATGCTTCATAATTGACATTGTTTTTTGAATTAAGGCCAATAGATTTTGATTCCTTCTTTACCCCTCTTTAGAGCAGAAGGAGAAACCTGTGTGGAGTTCAAAGCTATGCTAATTGCAGTAGGTATTCACCTGCTACTGCTGATGTTCGAAGTTCTGGTATGTGACAGGATCGAAAGAGGAACCCATTTCTGGCTTCTGGTCTTCATGCCATTGTTCTTTGTATCTCCAGTGTCAGTTGCAGCTTGTGTGTGGGGCTTCCGACATGACAGATCTCTGGAGGTGAGGCTTTGTTTTTATAATACTGAGAACTAGGATCGTTGAATCTGAAGAGCAGAATTTATTCCATATTAATTGTTTGTGTGTTACCAAGAAGTGTATCAATCTGTCATATTGTGTAGCTTACCAAAACGGAGAAACCAGAAAATGAAAAATTATCCTCACTTCACTTTTTCTACTTATCCTTTACTAAGAACATATTAAATTACAACATCCATGTTCTAAACTTGTCATTATTATTGAATCTGTTTTAACAATGAACTACAAAAGTGTTTCTGTATTATGGACATCTCTGAAGTGAATTTAGTGCTGGTAAAAAGTGCCCCTAGACAACATTGTCTGCTGAAATCACTTATTAATTCATAGGACCTTAGACAGTGAAGGCTGAAGAGTCTTTTGCTGGTGTCTGGTGCTGCCTGTAGGAGTAAGAGGTTAGCTTGTTCACACTCTGTACATAACAAGCTCTTTAGCAATATGAGAGCACAGTTCTTAAGTTTATGGAGAACATTGAGATGTGGCATGCAAGCTAGCACGTCCGCAACAAACTCAGCTTTTTAATTCAATGAATTGCCTGTTTGAGGAAATTATTGCAGCACTGTTTACAGAAGGCGATAACTATTTTTTAATACCATAGGGACCGTACAAAAAGCCCCGTACCTTTCTAGATGGCTTGACTACTTCTATCAACAGAGCATTTTTTAATGTTAGGATATACTGAATTTACCATTTTCTGGAAAGCAGAGAAAGGAAAGTGACTTTCTGGGTAACTGGTGGACTAATATTTAGATCCCTTGAAAACTGCCACTTGATTTGCAGGATGGGTGCACAGCTGATAAATATTGGTGGAGAAAAATTGGAATCCACTCACCCCTAAAAGGTCACAGCTATCTTCCAAATAGAATAAGTTACAAAATTCCACTGCCCAATTTACTTTTCCACTACTTTATCTCCTTTATTCTCATGCTATCTTGGTTTTCTTTCCTTGTCCCTCTCGAGGGTTTTACTTCTTCTGTTCTCCACTCTGTAGCTCAGGCTTTTCGTGTACTGTTAACATCGAGCATGTCCTACTGCACAAATAGTATTCTGTTCATTGAAGTAATGTAACTGAGGCAGTTGTTCAGCTGTCATTTAGTTCAATAGCTGCTTCATTTTAAAGTATTTTCAGTCTGCTTAATCCCACTATGAAACTGATTATGCCTTGACACAGGTGGCCACTACTCGATAAGCCCTTGTGTATGCATGGTGGGCTGGGGAAGTTTTCTGCTATATGTTGGGCTTCAGTGATTTTTAAAATACTATTTATCTAAGGCACATAGAAATGCTTTAAATTTGACTCTGGCATCACCAAACATTCAGCTGAATTTGGCAAGTGGTGCATATTAACCTAATTATAAAAGCTCTGTCACAGAAGTCTGTACTGTAACATTTCTTCTTGCCCTGTGTCCACTTATTTCTTCTACTCGTTTGTGGAGTTCCAGTACATAGTTACTTGAAATCCAGTCTGCAAGACTTTTATTAAAATGTTACCTTTGCGTGGCTAGTGGAGACTTGGTTCTTTGCTTAAAGATACAGAGTGTCACACTTATGTCTGAGAGGTCATAGATTATGCAGAATGCCCACTAAGATAACTGAGCCAGTATGAAGTTGCACATACTGCCTGACCTCTGGAAAATATTTATATCTCAAAATCCCCCTAGATATTGACATTTAAATTAGAAAATGTATTTAAATTCACTGGCTTCAGTTAGCCATTTTCAAAGAGTAAATTTCTCTCTGATCCCTTAACCAAACTCTTACCTATTTGGGGTGGCCCAGGAACTTTGGGAAACGAAATTCTGCCAAGTCAGATGGTATTTCATTATTTGATCCTTTTGAGCTAATCAGAAAGGTGTCACATTTTCAATATAATTTAGGGTTAGTTTTAAAGTACAACTTTTACTTTTCTGCTGGGGACATGAAGTAGAGGTTAGTGGGACACTTGAAAAGCATAGTGGCTTTCATTTTTTTTTTTAATGAAACTAGTACTTAACCTATATTACTACATAAAGAAAATGTGTCCTTAGTGGAACTAACACATCTTACAATAAACTGATTTTAACTTCTAAAAATTTAATCTACTTTTCACTATTCATACTGTCCTTTTGCATTTTATGCAGGAACATGAAACTAGACTGGTCTCTTAGATTCACACCGTGGATGTCTTGCACTAGCTAAATGCTGCAGTGCAACTACTAAAGGAAATGTTAGTTTAAAAAACAGTAACTAACTTATAATTGAAATAAGGAATGGATGGGTGGATGAAGGAAAATGTGACTAATCATTCATAACAACTAGTGTAAATATAAGTGGTGTTCATTGTTAAAGAACTGTATCATGAGTCGTAAAGTTGTTCTTTCAAACTTTTTGGGTGTCTTGTGTATTACTTTATAGTGCTATGAAGTGATTCTAATGTATTTTTGTATTTTATTTGTAGTTGGAAATTTTGTGTTCTGTCAATATTCTCCAGTTCATATTTATTGCACTCAGACTAGACGAGATCATCAGATGGCCATGGCTTGTACGTAAATTCCATTTACTCCATTTTAAGGTTGTTTCTAAATGTTGAAGTCTTCATGCAAACATTGAATATGGTGGCCTGCTAAGAAAAATGCTTTTAAGTGAAGTAAGTTATTTGCTACCAAATTGCACAATAAAGTGAAACGTGATTATAATGTATAATTGGAAGTAACAAATTGTAGCTATTCATTAACTCCATTGACACTTCTAATTAAAAAGTTATCAGCGTAAGTGCAGTATGTGGGTTTTTAACAAGTAAATAATAATGTTAATATGTCCAAAGTAAAAAATGAGAACTATATTTTTGGTATCCAGTGCTGAAAGGCATCAGAGCACCATATTAATCAAGTGTCTTAAACATTTATTGAGCCCTCAAGGTAAGTATTTACCTATCTTTTTTTCAGAAGGATAAACTAAGATACTGTGAAGGTAAGTAGTTTACCACTTATAAAGTGTGCATGGATAGAGTATGGATTAGAATTCATGATTTGGGACTTCCTTTCCCTTGCTACTCAGATAAATTGCCTCCCTAAACTACAAAAAAATAGAAATTAAGACTTCTTGGAAAGTATTAACTTATTATAGGCAGCACTAAAGTCTTGCTTTTGTTGAAGTATGTTAGTAGATATAAAGCTTTAGTGCCAAACTTTCAATGGATAGAGGTACTGCTTCAGACACAACTCATGCTATTCCATGGATGTTTCTGTATATATCTTGAGACAAAAAAACCCTGAGAAATGGCTTACATAAATGGGTATCTAAGTGCCTGAAATTCATGTTCAGCTTGCATGCATGTTTGCGCACAGACCTAGGTCTCTATCCACTGAAAACCTGGTTACTATAGTCTGATGTTTAATTTTTATTCTTTTAGGTAGAAAACCTGTCTAAAATGTTATTGCCATGGCATTAACGAGTCCATGATCTCATTTCTGTTGATTTGCCTATCCAGCAATCATTCACTGAATGGCTGTTTTCACTATGGAAACCTGTGGAGATAGAGACTGCTTGTGTCATTCTGCAGGGGGGAGTGAGACAGTGTACAGCACACTCCAGTTAATCTCTGATCAATTGTTGAGGAAATTGGATAGGAAAGGAAAACTACCCCGGAGAACACAAGACAAAGCAGGGAGTTAATGGGTGATGAGATAGGGGAATGCTTTTTTATGTAAACAATATTGCCTGGTAAATAATTGGTTTGTTTAGCCAGTATTCATGCAAACTATTTCAAATCCAGTAACAAGGAAGAGTTAATGTAAAAAGAATATATTGAGATTTAAAATTCCAAAAAGTGGCTTTCAGAGACAGACTCTATTGTTATGTGAGTTTTTTGTAAGTAGATGTAAAAAAATAAAGTTGTAACAAATATAAGATATTACCTCACCCACCTTGTGTCTCTCATATCCTGGGACTGACATGGCTATATCTACATTGCATATAAAAAGAAAGTTAACAACCTGGTAGTAGATCTCCTCTTGCTTTAGATTCAAGAGTGAATTCAAAAGGAGACAAGAACCCTGTTTTAGAAATTTTCAGCTAAGGGACCTACAGTATGTGTATTCTAAACTCTGTTTAAGCACTCTGACCCCATTTATAATGTCTAGCCAAATTTTACTGAAATTGAATTAGTCTGAAGTGGTTTTAAATTGCTTCAGCTAATTGTGTTAAAGGTCCAGTCTAGACAAAGGTTTAAGAAGCTTATCTAGTAGCCCAACAAAGTTGATATGGTACTTAGCATTGGTCATGGTTCATGAAGCTTTCTTGTTGTAGAGATAATCTTAATTACAAAGCATTATAGATTTACAACAAATTATTTTCAGCTATTTAGATTTACTATGTTTACTTTTTATTTTCTAAAAAACAAAACTGATACAGAGTAACTCGTCGCTGGGAGGAAAAATAATGAACTATCTTTCTTTTTCAGGTTGTTTGCGTTCCTCTGTGGATCTTGATGTCCTTCCTGTGTCTGGTAGTACTCTATTACATTGTTTGGTCTGTCCTGTTCTTGCGTTCAATGGACGTTATTGCTGAGCAGAGGAGAACACACATAACAATGGCCATCAGTTGGATGACAATCGTTGTTCCATTACTCACATTTGAAGTAAGCAAAAATGTGATCTTTTGTGTGTGTGATTCTCAATTAAGTTGGATGATCCATTATTTACTACCGAATCTGCTTCCTATATCTGCTTCTTTTGGGGCTTCTGAAAGTGTAGATACTATTCCTTGTTTAGAATAAAATCTTAACTCTTAACATGGATTGGGCTGGGCGGGAGGGGAGAAATTTAAAAATAAAATATAGGAATTTTTGATACTTCCGTAAAAAGATCATCATTCACACAAGCATTGGAAACTTGTTAAAGTTGAGATCAGTGGGACTTTGCATAGTGGAGGGATATTCTTGTACGAAGTAACTTGCAGGATTGGGGTCCAGCATGTAAATGTCTTAAGATCATGGATGTGTATTATAATCAAACTGACATTTGCTTAACTTTTTTCATTAGATTCTACTAGTGCACAGACTGGATGGACATAATGCATTCTCATATATACCCATTTTTGTCCCTCTTTGGCTTTCTTTGATAACTTTAATGGCAACAACATTTGGACAGAAAGGAGGAAATCATTGTAAGTATCTAGAAATACGCAGTATTAGATGGAAAAAGCTCACGTTGAATTCAAATATTTAATCCTGGCTTTAGCCTATTTTTATCGATCCTTTTCAGAAATAACACTTACATGCTATATGTATATCCTCCTCTTCTCCCCCCCCCCACCCCACACACACACAAAAGAGAGAGAGATTAGACAGAAGGGTAGGAACGAGTAGTATTTGAGACAATTTTAATGCAAAATTTTCAATTTTGGGTACTGAGGAATTTTGTGTGGGTCTCTTTCAGTAGAGTAGAAAGTATGGCTTACGTTTATATCAAAGCAGTCTGTTTTGTTTGGATTTTTTAGTGGACACCCAACAAACTAAACAGGGATGAACACGGTGTGCTTAGTCAGAAGGAGCTTTGCAGCTTAAAACAGTTTTTCCTTGTGAGTCACATGTTGTGTATGTATCTTCTGTTATTGTTAATCATCTAAAAGCTGGATTTTGACCCCTTAAAACCACAACTTTAAATCCCAAGAGGGTCAACTCAGCCCTCAATCCTTCCACAGTAAATTGAGTTCCATGCTTTTTAGGGTGTAGAGGGTGGGGTTTGTTTGTTTTTGTTTTTTTTGGTGTTTTTTCCTGATGTGGACTCTGAAGATCCCGTAGCACTTATTGTAAGAGGATGGGCTTGTCCTGGTGTCCTTAGCCAATGTTCAGTTTCTCCTGCTGTGCTGTGTACCAGTTAATTGTGACTTCCACTATAAGGATAGCTTTATTTAATGGTGCAGGGAGCGTATCGGCTATAAAAACCCTTTGGGATCTTTTCAGTTGGAAGAATTAGTATTAACATTTATTACTGTAAACTGGCTTCTCTTGGTTTTTGGTCTCTTTAATGGCAGTGTACACTAAGACTTTTTTTAACCTATTCTTAAATCATAGGTAGCTTTTTCATATTCAGCTTGTGTTTGAGCCATTCTTGTATTGATTCTGAGAAACTGTCAGTGCTTAAATAATAATTTTGCACCACCACTAATCATTAAACCCATTTAGCCCTATAATAAGGAATATCTTACCTTCATATTCTCTACTAATATGCATTAAGAGTGCCTTGTGAGGACTTGATCATGAAAATATGAATTTCTTTTCAGCTAGTACATTCTCAATGCCTGTAGATGCTTGTTTCATCAAAGCATCTGCAGCATAGGTTGCTCTCCCAGACCTAGTTAATGTAATTAGACTTCTGTCTGATATATGATTACTTTGAATAGCATCAGACTTCTAACTTTGTATTTCTGCTAGTTATATAACTTTTAACCAATCTCATTTCATTCCTTTTTTTGACCCTTAATCCTAAATTTGCCATCCCAGACTTGGTAAGGAGAGTGTGGAGCATTGAAGGGCCCAAGTCAGTCTTCACTTGTAGCTGTGCACTGTGGTCACAGCTACTTGTGGGGTAGCTGAGGATAGAATTGGCTCAGTCTCCAGGAAGGCTATAAGCTGTAGATCTAGCATTGGCCTGTATATCTTATTTTATGAATACAAGTTAGGAGATATAACCCCATTCATCCCAAATGGACCCAAAGTGCTTAACAAACAAATGTACTTAATTCCACAACTGAAATGCAGTTACCAAGGTGAAATATGGCAACTGGCCACCAAGCTTAACATCTCTTGAGAAGAATGTCATGGGATCTTTAATGGCAAGTAGTCAGGACATTGGCTTTGTTTCATGTGAAAGATTTGGCTTTAGCAGGCATAGTACCCTTGTACACCATGCTGTGGTATTAATTAATGGAAGGGCACCATCTACTGAGTCACCAGCACCATTTGCTAGTGTCTTGGTGCTCCCATTATGTTCTTCCCAACCACATGCTGATCTGACGCTGCTTAGCTTGTGAAATCTGATGGTATCTCAATATATGCTGGCAGAGCTGCAGGCTGACGTAACCTGAATTTGTATTGCTATTAGAGTATACTATGTATATTACACATTGTAAGTAACTTTCTATATACAATACTTATCAATATCTATTTATAGAAAAGATCGTGGTCTGAATAATTAAATCAAATAAAATGAGAGAGTACTTAGTTTTAAAGTTAAATTTTCTTCTGGAGTAAAACTGAAACTATTAATAAATATTTATTTGTTCAGGGTGGTTTGGAATTCGCAAAGACTTCTGTCAATTCCTACTTGAACTTTTCCCATTCTTGAGAGAATATGGAAATATTTCCTATGATCTCCATCATGAAGATAATGAAGAACTGGAAGAAACACCTGTTCCAGAACCCCCCAAAATTGCACCAATGTTCCGAAAAAAGACTGGAGTGGTCATTACACAGAGTCCTGGAAAGTATGTTATTCCACCTCCCAAGTTAAGCATTGACATGCCAGATTAAGATTAATTTAGAATGTGGACAACTGACAACAAAACTGGAACTGGGAATGAACAGCCAAATGTATTTCATCTCATGCCTTGTTCTAATTTCTTTAAGGATAGGTATTTGTCAGTTAGTGGCTTGTAATGCAGATGTTGGAGATTTTAAAATATGATTTCTTTCAGAGCTTTCCATATTTGCTTAAAATCTCATAGTAGCAAATCAAAGTGGGAAGACTAGCTATAGTAAGGTTCACAGGTGGAAACAAACTTTTTTTAAAAATGTATCTATAAAGTCATTACCAGAGAAATTACTCCAATACACAGATAGGGACATCAATTGTAGTGAACTGGGAATTGAAAACTTCTAATATTCTGTAACATGACCTCCGGTAACTGAAATTCATATTTTCCTACATCTCATTTAAGCATTCTAAGTATGTGTTCCTAGTGTTATGATGATCTTTTGTCCATGAAGATAGGTGGTTGTCTAATATGTGAACCTTCCTAGTGGATTGGTTATGTGCCTGGCTGTATAGTATTTATACAAACATTTTAGCAATGTAATATATTCTGTTCAAATTCTAGTTCTGTACAGTATAAATATTATGTAAAGGTATTTTTTTAAAAAGCCTGTATGAAATGCATAAACTATTACAGAGGATGTCTTTCGTGTCTTAACTATACACTTGGCCTCTCTTGCTGTATGTACTTTAGGCATGTAGTAGTATGTATTGGCATGTCTTTACCTTTCATTTCCTATTCAGACATGAAAACTATGTGTAACTACCGAGGCACAGGAGCATTTCATTCCTCAGGCAAGACTTGAAGGCTTTTGTATTATATAGAATGTATAACAGCTTCCATGATTTGACTTAATGTAAATTATTGTGTAAATAATCACAACCTTTGCACTGACATGGGGGTAAATGTTAACTTTGTGTTGCTTTTTCCAGTTCTATAGTCAAATGTTACTGGTAAGCAACACACTTATTCATCATTAGCCCCTTACTTCAGCTGTTCAATAAACTATTTTCTCCTATATTATGTGCAAAACCTATACCTTGTTTTCAGAGCTCAGAGACTTCCTGGATTTATGACAGCTATTGGTTAGCTGTCATAAATACCAAGACTGTACTGTTGCATCATTACCCAATCTCGTGTAAAACACTGGTCAGTCTAAATTATTAAACCCTTCAAAATGAGTTGTGCCATTTTAAAAATAGTAAATTCTCTATAAAGGCTTATGTTTATTTTGACATTGTCGTGAATGTTTTGGATGACAGGCTTTTTTAACCTTTACTGCGCATACTTGTGGGACAGTGAGATTAATCTGAAATTCATGTTACTATAGCTTCTTCTCCTTGCCCAGGAGATGCTTCTGTTTGCTCTTGCAGCTCAGTGGTAAGTGTTCATTCTGATATCCATCAGTATTGTGTTTCTGAAAAAAATTACTGGGGCAGGAATTATAGGAATGTGGAAATTCCATCTCTTCACCATAGCCACTAGCCACGATTGTACCAGAAGTAGGAAACATGTTCTTTCTGTTGACTGTAATACTAGTACTAGTGAGGCAAATGCTCCCACCGCCTCTCCATGGGACATAGTGGCCTGTTCCTTTATTCTTCCTTTTTATTTATTTATTTTTCCTGTAAGGGGCATTTAATGGCAGAAGGTAATTCATTATAGTCCACTTTCTTCCTCTACTGCAGCAAAAATGGGGTTTAGAGGCAGCCTTCTAACCCATGAATACCCCACCATCGTTGTCCTCTAGACTTAAGAGACAATGCTCTGCTCTCACACTTCCTACTTGAGAGACTCGGCGAGGAACGGGCCTTCCATTTTCCTACTAGAACAGAGCAGCAGTTAAGAGGCATAGGTTGAATTCCCCCAGTGTCACCAGAAGGGAGAACCAGTGGGAAGTCAGCTTCTAGCAGACAACCTCCATTATTCCCTTTTTTCTCTCTCTGCTATCCCTGTGACAAGTGCTTGCAGGATTGTTCTTTTGATATACAATTGTTATCACTTGAGAGATGGGCAATGATGACCAACCTCTGCCAGTTTCAGATTCTGTCCCTCTGCCTTTTATCCATACCTCCTTCTCCAGTCCTTTGGAGCAGAAAAAGGTTTCTGCCAGAGACCACTGAAGGTAGTCTTCTTTGCTGCAGCAAAATGGAATTGTAAATCTTCATTTTCAATTTTTTATATACAGTTTATGCAGGGCCGCCCAGAGGATTCAGGGGGTCTGGGGCAAAGCAGGGGAGCTGTGGGGCTTATACTCACCTGGCGGCGGTCCGGGTCTTCGGCGGCGGGGGGCCCTTCAGTCACTCTGTGTCTTCGGCAACACTGAAGGGTGCCTCTCCCCCCCGGGCTGTCCTGAGTTTATGTAACTTAAATACTTGTATTCATGTTTGTTTTTTCTTGCAGGCAGGGTCTGACAGCAAGAACACACACATTGTGGCAATTCTTGCACTAGTGAAAGAGGCCCAATGGAAAGACTCATCAAACAAATTTCTCCCTTTATTTTCAACCATAGCAACAATACAAGCTTCCCTTATCTCTGTTGTGGAATGACTGCCTCTGGGGGGATGGGACAGTGGCTCTGTGTCCAGTCAGTACATGCTTTATTTACATCAAGAGACAAACCTTTTATAGATTAGATCTAATCTCTTGTAAATTAAATATAAATGCTATAACTTATCTGGCCATTATTACCTCAGTTTGCTAGGAAACCAATTGTTTTATTAGGTCACAGCCGCACACCACAGGTATCATTATGATGTTCTAGAACTCTTTATTGAAGTTCACTGTAAGTTAGCATCATTTTAATATACCTCTGTCTAGGAGCATGAAGCTCAACTAATAGCATAAATAACTTCAGCTGAAAAAGGTCAAAGTGAGAAAGGAGGATTGGAGATGGACCTTTCTATAGCAGAAACTCCGCATGTTTCAGCTCAGGATGAAATGGTTGATTCTGCTGTCTCAATTTCTTCTGCTATTCCACTGTGTGATAGAACAGCAACTGGTGACTCTGCCTTGAGGTCTATAATAGAAGAAAATGCCTTTCAAGTTTTGAGTGATGGACCCTGGGTAAAAAGACCACGTCTTCTCTGTGATGATAGTTCCACTGAAGACAATGATTTTTTATCCCTCACCTTTCCAAAGAAACTATGGAAAATTGTTGAAAGTGATCAATTTAAGTCACTTTGGTGGGATGATGATGGAAATTGTGTAGTGATTGATGAAGAGCTCTTCAAAAAGGAGGTGCTGGAAAGGAGAGGACCTCTGCGAATTTTTGAAACTGATTGCATGAAAAGTTTCATTCGTCAGCTTAATCTCTATGGCTTTAGCAAAATGCGACAAGATTTTCAAAGGTCTGCCTCGCTAGCTGAATTTCTAGCAGAAGAAAAAGCAGCTTCTGCCTTTAGCAAGGTAAATTGTCAATATAATTTCTCAAAGCTAAAGATGCTATTACTTAAAATATGTTCAATGACTTTTTTGCATGTGCAAATAAGTTGTTTTATGCTTGTTATGAAGAGAATCTAGGAATGAGGGTTGTGAAGGATATTCTGACAGCCATAATTTCTCAAGGTATTTTCATGAACAATAAGAGTATTAAAAAAAAAAAGTGATTACTGTTTTTTTGCCCTGAAGTGACCATTTCAGTGTGGCTTTTTCCTACTCTCCTGAGCCTGTGAAACAGAGAGTGATCCTCCCACCCCCTCCTATCTCTTCGCTGGTCACTGGCTTCCTCCTGGTGCTAGACCTGAACTGCTTTCTTTCCCTCCTGACATTTGCTGAATGCTAGAAAGGTGGATATGGCCCATGTGCTACTGACTGAACCTTTATGGCCTTCATTTAAATTACTAAGTCAATGGGACTTGTACTCCTAAATCACTTACGTGCTTTTGAAAACTTCCTACCATTAGGTAATATCCATCCTTACTGTTTAAACTCTGTTTTGATACTAGACCCATTAAAGGGACATAATCCATTAAAAATATTACTTTAAAATGTCCTTGCCTGTATTCCTAATAATACCTTTAAATGTCAAATTTACATTTCACCATTTCTGCCATGTTTGCTTTTTGCACTTTATTTGGCTTCTAACATGAAGCTGAGTTATTCATATCCATTTCCTGGTTTAAGGGCTAAACACGATGCTGCAGGTGAATGTTTAAATTCAAGGATGGATCACTGATTTTAAATGTTATGAGAATACTTCTGTTTGTTTCATCAAATCTTCACGGACTAAAATAGAGACCTAAAGTGCCTGCCAGTGTCCCTTCAATGTTAATGTTTGACTGTTTTATGTAGGCAAAATCTTAGCCAGAATGTGCACTTGACTCTTGCTTTTTTATCCTCACAGAGGTGATTAAATCTTTTCACTTGCTTTATTTAGTTACAGTTCTACCATAACCCGAATTTTAAGAGAGGCTCTCCCCACCTCCTTCCAAGGTGTAAAAGAAGAGTTGGCATCAAAAATACACCACCAGTTGCTTTCTCATTAGATGAGGAATTCAGTGAAAACTGCCTAAAGAGTGAGGGAAGAAGCTCAGATGTTCAGTCCGCCTTCAGAACTGCTTCCATGGAGGAAAATGACCTTGTTGCAACTGCTCCAAAGGAAAACCTGCAAACATGCGCACTAAGAAAGCCTACAGTAAATAAGGGACTTGCCAGAGCAACTGCCCGAATCAGAAGTGGATACGCTTCATCGCCAGCAGCTTCACTGAGGCCATCGGAACGTGCAACAGCAGAAGACAGTGAGAAGTTGAATCAGCTGGCTCCATTCCATTTACCCCAAAATAACAGCCATACTCAAGTCAGCACCCACGATATAGATTCCACTACAACTACATCCGCGACTTCTTTGTATCATGTCATACCTCCTGTATCAAATAGTCCCTTTGGATCTGTGATGGGGCTTCCTGCCTTCCCAACCATGTATCCAGACTTATCAGCTATGCAGGCTCATTGGGCTAGTTTGCTGCCATTTTGTAACCCATGGTTCTCAATGCCTATGATTGCAGCAGCCTCTGCCATTTCAATGTCAAGATCATCTCATCACCGAACTCCATCATACCATCACTGCCCTAATTGCAAGTGCACTTCGAACAATGCATCTGCTGCCAAAGGTGTTGGACCAAAGCCTACTGAATATTCAGGATACCATCGATAAAGCAAAGGACTTTAACATTTCATATTCTGAGGGAGAAAGTCACTGACAAATCTGCAATGAAACTGTCTGAAGAATAAATGTCTTTTTCCAGTTTTCCTGTCCGATTTATATAAAATAATCCCAGACTTTATTTTATTTTCAGCAAGGAAGAATTAGTTCGGTAGAAGTAAATGGTCAGCTTTAATGATTTGTAGTAGTTAACAAATTTAGGGATCGAGACTAAGAGCAGTGTAATGTTTGAATTACATTTGGGCTGGTCATGTTCCAGCTCACCACCACCACCACCCTTCTTTGTCTCCGCAAAGAAGGCTGAAGGGCTGTGGTGGAGCCAAGCGAGGGGGAGGTAATGCCGGAGGACTAAGCCTCTTTTTGTTCTTGAGGTGATATGTGCAGCATGCAGCTCTATGTCTGAGGAATACACTTGTTCCAAGGCCATTTACTAAGGCTTGGTTTGCAGAGCAGGGTTTGACCTATGTGTTTAAACAAAATATCTATCTCATGATGCCCTTCTTACTCACACAGTACAGTGATCTTCACCTTTTGGGATAGCAGGTTTGCAACATGCTGAGGTGGATGACCCACAGTTTACAGAGTGATTCACATTAGCTGTCATAAGAAATAAGATTACAAGTTCATAAAGTAATGGTCAGCACATATTACTACAGTGTCTGGTATGTTCATTGAAAGATCTCCTAAATCAGGTCTAGGATAAGAGATCTATAAAATCAACAGACCAAAACTAAGAGATTGGTTTCATTCATTTTCAGCAAGATGCAGGTTAGGGTTTATTAAAAAGGAGAGAAAGAAAGGGGGGAGGAGGCAAGATTTAGGAATTACGTTACCATCTTGAATCCCTTTCACTCAGATAATTTTGAAAAGATGCTGCAATTCAGGGTTACTTTTGAGATAAACTTTGAAGTTAAATATTTCAAGTTCCAAAAAATGTGAATGTCTTTGTTCTTGGTGTAGCTATGGGCTACTGGATTGTAATTATTAGGGTCCTGCATACATGGTGACCAAGGGGCAGATCGTGTGCCCAGTGAAGTCAGTAGTAAAGCTTCCATTGAATTCAGTGGTGGAGGATTGGGCCACAACTGATGTGAGAGGGGAAACAAAATACAGGACAGTTAAAATATTTAAGGAGTATTTATTAAATGATATTTTAAAAAGTAGAGTGGAATAATTATTTGAACTTAGGGTTAGTAGTTCTTTTCACTACCATGTAGGAAAGTAGGGTTCAGGTTGAACATGCATTGAATTGCTTAACTATGATCCTTCTGCATGATTAACATGCCGCATTGAATTAAAATTATTCTTTTCATATATCTACTTGAGGGTTGTCTATAGCACCCATCCCCGTGGTATTTAAGCACTTCTCAGAAACCTGTATTAAAACTTACATCAAATCCAATTGATCTGGACTAAAGTGTGAAGTCCTTTCTGAGACAAAACATACTGGTTTCTGTAGGAGCACTGTCTACAGTCGATGTGCAGGATTGCGTCCCTGGATGTGCAATAAAGAGCAATGCCTATTAGTTGTAAAATGTAATAAATATTCTGTGAATGAAATCTTCAGTGTTTTGAAGAGCAGATACAAGCAGGATAAAATGTTATGCCATTAATAGTGTATTAGTACCCAACTGTGCACCGTTCTGCATGTTTAGATTCATGGAAGTCTGCTGTAGTCAGCTCCCAATATTTACATCTTATATTAAATAAAATGACAAACTACCATGAAATTCAGAAGTGTGAAATGTATTGCAATTTTATAGAGAATTTAAAATTCAAAGAGTAAACAGAGTGGTTCATTAAATCCTAAATCAAGCAACTTCCAGTCACAGACCCGTGCCTCTGGAATTACTACTGTAAGACTCCTCTTCAGAAGGCGCTGTAAGCATTGCACATATGCAATCCACATAGTCTTTAAAAAAGACTAGATGATATGGCAGTAAAAATGTCCATGCCTAGTCTTCTGTGTTGGTAGCCTTGGTGAAAAACAGATGTATTGTGTGCTAGTGTAGATGCACCTGCTACACCTTCAAAGAACACAAAACTAAGAGATCTTTATATTGTCCTTGTATAAGAAGTTATAGGTGGCTTTCCTTGTTCACTGAGGGAACTTCTAGTATAATAAGGATGGCTGGGGAATGTAGGCATCAATTGATGCTATAATGGTCACAAGTATCAAGATGTGGTACCTTCCAATGAAGTACTATATGTGAGCGTAATTTGGCATTGCTTACCCTAAAGAACATCTCCTTTAAGAACCATCACTTTCTGCAGACTAGCATATTCATTTTATTGTCTCTGTATCTACACCCTTTGTGCGGACATAATGCCACCCAGCCGTATCTCAGATCTGAAGGTTAAAATGGGCTTTGACACTTCTAAAAATGTCACCCCTTCTCTATCTGCCAGCTGGATCCTCTGATATCCATATGTATGCTTGGCCCCACATGAGGTTAGGTTTTGCCTCTGGCACACCTGATTCAGTGTTCTGCATGGAAAGCTGACAACTATTATAAGGTTTCCAATATTAAGTAGTATTTAGGTAAAAATGGTTCATGGACCCTCTTGTTGCCAGTTAAACAGTATTTCTACTGGGAAATTATTTAAAAAAAATGCTTTTCAAACATTTTTCCTGAAGTCTTACTGAAGGAGACCAGAAGGAAGTCTTAGAAACTGTCCTCTTTAGACACAGAACATTATAGCCCAAGCAGAAGCGGTACAAGCCTTCCCACACTGCCCTACCAATGCACTGCGACCTTTGTCTGGGCAGATTGCCTCTATAAAAGAGGGCAGTTCAGACTCCATACTTGAGCCAATCATTGACGTCTTTGATAAAACAGCCAATAAGAGTACTGGTTTTTGTGATGTGGCAACCTGACAGCTGGACTAAGACAGTCAAACTCACTGAATGGCTATTAAAAGGAAAACATTTTGAGTCACTATCAGCTATCTGAGGATTTGAGCCAGCGACATGGAGAAGAAATCTTCAATAACCCATTACTCATCTCAGCCATTTAGCATAATTTATTTCATATTAAAATAGATGATAGCAGCAATTGTGTTCATTTTCTCATTGTGATGCTATATTTTCTGAAAGGGATCCTATTATGATGTAATGCCAAAGTTACACATTCACTATTGTGATGTTCATGAATGCTTATACAAATTGTTGTATACTGTAATGGGTGTTTAACTTTCTGAAATGATCTATGAAAGACCAATATATAGTCTGATATTACTCAAAAGCAGGTGAGAAAATTATTTCTACTAAGAAAAATATTTGAACAATTTAAATTTAAAAAGATCAGTGTCTACTATTGTAAGTCCTCAGTATTTGGCGTTTGGACTGTAAATTCAGTGTAAAACAGCTGTTAAAGTAACCTTATTTTCTCCCACTTCACTTTTTAAAAGTCTCTGGAAAATTCAAATGATGGATGGCAGCTTGACGGAGTGGTGCAGGAGTATTTTTGTTTTAGTGGGTCAGAAAATTCTCTCTGAAATACTTTATGTACAAAGTTTTACTAACCAACTGAATCTGAATTACTTGTAAGGACCAAAGTGTGCAGAACTTGGCTACATTTCTGGAAGGTAAAGAGGATACCTCTGCATTATATGACGTCTTTGATCTGATTCCTAGTAGGAAAAAAAATCAGGTTTTTTTTTAAGTGTCTTGTTACTTCTGAGCCCAAGCCTGGGAGGTCCTGGGTGCTACACATCTCCCATGGATTTAAATGGGTGTTGACAGCATTCAGCACCTTACAGTCTTTTATATCAAGCTCTGCAGCTGTTTGATAAACTTGAAAATCCAGTCCCCACAAACTGCTGGAAGGGAGAAGGGACTTGGTTTCTTCTCCTGAATTGGTGCCTCCTGACTGCTGTAAAGGTGAGGCAGGATCTCCTACATAGTTCCACCTCCCAAAATTCTTGGCTACCATAATGGGGAATATCATTCTCTGTTATTCCACTCCCTTCTCCAGTACTTGCAGATTTCTACTCCTTCCTCCAAACCTTCCAAGCTTCTGGTAGGGTCAGAGAAGGGGAATGTCTGTGCCTCTAATTCATGCGCACAGTCCATCCTGGTTCCTGCTAGGATCTCTCCTACTCGACTGTACCTCCAGTCTACTTCCTAACTACTGGGAGGGCGCATGAAGGCAAGAGGTGGTTTCTGCTACTCCACTCTTCCCCAGGTTCCATTGTGGGGGTCCTCTTCCTCCTTGAATAACTTCAGTACCTGCCTCTGCTGCTACTCTGCACTTTCCCAAGCAGCAGCAAGAAACTGACGTGTGTCTCCACAGTTCTACTGTGGGAACAGCAGCAGTGAAACTGATCAGACATGTTAAGTTTTCTCTTCTGCTTGACAAGGCTAGAGGTAGCAGTAGAGGCAATCAAGGTGTCTGGCAGCAGAGTTAGGAAGATGACACTGCATCAGTTCACACTGTGTTGAGCACTGAAAGACTATTCTTGCAACAGTAAGGGTAGATACTTAAGATACAAATTAGAAAGCTAAAAATGCATACATTGATAATGTAAGTCCTCTCATTTGCCAGGACAAGCTTCCCCGAGGCTGGGGTGAGAATGGATTTTTCAAGTTCTTTTTTTTTTTAGGACAATGGGAGAAATAATTCAGATTGAAGATAAGCAGCAGAAGCTAATTCAAGTGTCTCATTTACATAAATGAAAACCGAAACCCAAGTTGCACAGGATAGATTTTTATGGCAGATTTTGGCCTATAAAAATAATGCTGAGAATGCAACTTGAAAAGGGAGAGTACTTTCCAAAAGCAATGCTGCACATGCATACACAGCTATTTTGGAATTGATATACTTTATAATAATCTGTTTCTTTTGTTACAGTTGTATTATCAAGCAGCAAGAGTCTTGATTCAGTTGTTAATAATAATGAAAAGAAACACTAAAACTAGAAGTTTTACCCTGGAGCATGAGGGTAACAGCACTGACATAAAAGCTGTGGGTATGCCAGATGCTCAGGAACGTGCCTCAGCATGCTTCAGTGGTGGCCAGCAAACTGATCTGCCATCCCGTTCTCTACAAAACTGTGCACAAAAGCTCCTACCTCCTCAAGAACTGAGAGCAAGCATCAGCGAATTAAAAACTCACTCCGCCATCTTGACAGGGAAAAGTTCACAAGAACAGAAAATAACAAATTTTGAAGCCATGAAGAACAAATATTGTGACCATTCAAACAAACATTCCCTCCTCTTTCCTGGACCTTCTCAGATAAGGGGGTCTAACAGCCGAGAATTAAAATATCACCCAATGGCCTTGACAGGACAAAGTTCACATGAACAAAATCCAGTTGATTGTGAAATCAAGAAGAACAAGATGTATCATTTTCATCCATACAAACATTCCAGATTTACTCCAGATATCCGCTATGGTATGGATTCGAGAATTGCTGCATTAAGTTGTCATCACCCCTTGACTCCAAATCCCATGCCAAGATTAGATCCCATAACCAGGCTTCCTATTTGTCAATGTGCTCACCTAGATTTAGCAGCTATGAATGCCTACCAGATTGCCAGATTGCCGTTCTCTCATCCATGGTTTTCCATGCCTATGATGCCATCTCTTTCTGCCATTTCTATGCCCGGGGATGCCCCTCATCAACATAGGGCATCCCCACATTATGCTTACTGCCAATGCTTTTGCTGCCTTGGAAGCTGGAGAGCCTCAAAACCAAATTTGCAGTAAGAACTTTGGCTGCAAGGGGAAAACAAATGTTAGTGACATGCACTAAATAATTTTAACACAATTTTCCATTTTATTAAAATTAAATGTCCAGAAACTTAATTTTCTGTGGTTTCTTCTTCTTCTTTACTGCTTTTTTTTTTTTTGGTCCCTGTTGTTCTATGATTTACCTTTTAAACACAATATTCTGAAGGTGGGGCTGTTACTATTTCAGAGCAGTCAAAGAAAAACACCACCTAAGAAGAGGAGATTACTGGGGCAATGAGTTACCTTCTAATGACGCCAAAGCCAAAGAGTGCCCCCTTTAAATTCTTTGGATTGTAAGGTTTTCATACAATCAGCAACATCTTTTGCTTTTTTGTGGTTCAATAGTAATGGCAGAGTTTCTTCAGCCATGCATTTCATCATCATTTCCAACAAACCTACAGGATAGGTATTTCCTATCCTAAGTACAGAAGAAAGCTTTGGTATCTTCTATAAGCATGTGTGGTTACTGCTGACGAGTAGTGACTGTTTAATGGTGACCACTCTATTGTCTTGAATGTCTAATTAGCCTAGATATTTCCCCAAACTTGGCTCACCATGTAGACTGGTTTATGATTTATTACATAAAGAGATGATTAAAGGCTGTGTGGTCTATTGTTTAGAGTAAAACACTGAGAATCACTGTTCCTGGGTTCTATTTCTAACTCTGCCACTGGCTTGCTGTGTAACCTTGAAAAGTCACTAAGCCTTGCTCCACCTTAATTTTCACATTAGTAAAATGGGAATAATAATATCTACCTCACAGTGCAGGTGGGAGGCTTAATGAATAATGTTTGTAAAACACTTTGTTTTTATTGTGTATTGTTTCTCAAAGGAGCTCAATGGATTATGGCTTGGTACTATTCAAAAGCTGTAATAAACCGATAATTAATGGAAGAGTTTGTAAATCCTATAGGAAGAAAAACAATATATGCACTGAACAACAAAGGATAGTCATACCTTAGATTCAAAGTGCTATAAAAAAACTGAGCTGTGACAATTGGCTGCCAGACATGGAGATGTGCTATAGATCTCATTCCATGGCACAGGTGAACTACCTTCTAGAATACAGGTTTCAGAGTAGCAGCCATGTTAGTGTGTATCCGCAAAAAGAACAGGTGTACTTGTGGCATCCGAAGAAGTGGGCTGTAGTCCACGAAAGCTTATGCTCTAATAAATTTGTTAGTCTCTAAGATGCCACAAGTACTCCTGTTCTTTTTACCTTCTAGAAGCACAAACATCATCAGAGGTGAGTATTGAATGAGAGGTCAGTAGCACTAATGAACTATTGACATGTCTATCTGGCCTGGATTTTAATGATTTATAGAGAAATGTAAAAATGGATCATTCATCAAAGGTGGCCTTTCTTATGCAGTATAAATCCACACTTAAAATCATCAACTTTGTCCAGAGGCTCATAGCCCACGGTAGTGCTATATAATACTACTGTTAACCTATTTAATTCTTGGGCTGATTGTATTAGCATGCTTAATTCATTGCTGCATGTTATAACCTTGGTTAGGGCACAGGAGAAGAGAGGTATCTCTTTTACCCATGATTATTAATACAAGCCAATTGTATTATTTGGTAAATAAGTTTGAAGCAGCACCATTTTTGTAATTGTCACACACTCACAGTCACCCTTAACCTGTGCTCAAATAAGAATTTGAATAGGCGTTGTGCAAAATGGACCCCATAGGAATCAGAAGTGATATAAAAACTGTTTGGATTTTTTGGCATAAACTAATAATTACCAGTAATTTAATTGTTACTGTTACCAGTGAATACCATCTTAAACTTAGAAAATGTGAGCCAAAATAAACTGAATTTAATTAGTACTCAATGTTATTCCAATGTTATTTCAAACAGACCTGCTAATCGATATGTCAGATAAATAAACTATTGCTGTCTCCGATTTTCAGTTATCTTCTAGAAAAATTCCTGTATACGCTAAGAATGAATATTCTCTAAACTGTTTAGAGAATACATCTTATGTGAACAAGAACATAGCTGTTAGTGATGGTCCCAAGCTGACAAGTTTGGATCCAAACTTTTCAATGTTCAGGGGTGTGTTTATTGAAGATTTTGGCTAGGCCCGTGGCAGAGATAAGGCAAATTGCAAATTTCAGACCCAGATCTGAATCTCACTAAAATTCAGGTATGTTTGTAACTGGAGGTTTTGGTTCAGCCTCATATATATTGTAGTGCTATCTCTTTTGTGCACAGTACAAACACACATAAGTTACACATAGGTAGACAAAGGTGAGTGGCCCAAGGTTCTTACAATCTAATAGCTGGATCCTTTTCTCATTAAAGTCTATAAGTTTTACCCGTAATGTCAATGGGGCTGAATCGGGGTCCTAAAAGAGGTGGAGTATAAACAATAACAGATCAGGAACAATAGTAGGAGCAGACCATTTTGGAAAGGAAACCAGTGGTAGGCTAAAAATGTAAGAAGAGATTTGAAGAACAAGATGGAGATCAGTTAGTACATGAGAAAGGAGAGGCTGTCCCTAGCATTGGGGGCAGTGTGAAACGGGCATAAGATCATAGGGAGAAGCAATCAAATAGAGAACTAAAAAGAAAACTGTATAATGTACCAACTGTAATTTCAATTAGATCACTTGTTTAATGGGTCTTTACTGTATCATGTTTACTTTAAAATATCTTAATGTCCCTACTCTTCCCCAAATTTAAAAAAAAAATGAAATTAAGGGAAACAACTCTAGCTGAAGCCTTTGTCTTCCAGCTGGGAAGGTTACTCTTCAAACCACAAAAAGTGGCCCAAATATATAGGTGAACGTGAGAGTCTAAATCTAACCCAAAGTATGCATTACCCCCAACTGAAACCCACTCAAGACTCCTTTAGAATTACACCCACTTAACATGTAACTTACAGTTCGCATATTACCTCTGAATTTGGCCTGCTGAGTCTAACTGAGACTCAGGACCTCTAAGCTGATGTAACTCACATACCAAGGGCCAGAAGAAAGAATATAGAAAGGAAGGGTGTCAGTAGGCCATTTCTCCTTTTATCTTCTTCCAGCTCCTCAGCCATTTAAATTACTCCAATTTAGACTCCGATGTGCACTCTTCTGTATCAGTAAGTGGATGTGATTCTAAGGAAGTCTATTTTATAGTAACTTACACCACTTCTAAATGTGGCCAAGCCCAAGATGCCAGAGATTGGATTTGAGGAGACACCCAAGCAGGATCCTCCTCAGTGTAACAAAGAAGAGGCTGGCACTACAGTGTTCTCCAGAGGTGCTTTCAGTTCTGGAAGTAGCTCCCCCCTCAGATTCAAAACAGGCCTGGTTTATGGGCCTTCAGGGAACACTACAAGGCAATCTTTCAGACTGCTGCAGCAGACAGGGGGGCTATGATGGAGTTTGGATCTGTGGGGGAAGGCACGCTGTTTAATTTTATTCTTTGTGTAATTTATGGCAGCATTTCCTAGAGCCCTGGATAGGTGCCCTCTTAATTTTTGTACAATACTAAAGAAATAATAACCAGTTTGGCCCTGTATATTTTATACATGCGTAAATAATTTATCCTGCCACCCTAACTAGAATTTATGACATCGCTAGAGTAACAAAAAACGTATATGTCACAGCCATGGTGTCGCTTCACTACTGCAACGTTCTAGAACTTCACCTTACACTGTAACCAAGTATTTATCATGTCTTTAGAACTATCCTGGACTGAGTACATTACATTTCCAGGTTTATCTTACTCCAGCTAGATTCATGGCTACAAACACTTCAGAAAAAGAAGACAAATTTAAAGTTATGTTTGATATGGCAGTAGCGCTAATATCCTCTGACAAAAAAAACTTCAGTCCTGAAAAATCAGATAAAAAGCTTTCATCCGTTTCTTTAATGCTGGACCAGAACATACCAGGAGACGTACCTGTAAAGGACATTTTGGAAGAACATGCTTATGAAGTGCAAGAAGATGCCAGCTTCTCCAAAAAACTGCATTGCCGTAGCTGTAACCACAGTAAAGTAGAAACAGGCGAGATAAATGTACTTCTTTCTCTCTCCTTTCCCAAAAAACTGTGGAAGATAGTAGAAAGTGATGAGTTCAAGTCTATTGGTTGGAATGATCATGGAGATTGTGTCATTATAGATGAAATCTGCTTTCAGAGAGAAATCTTAGACCGAAGAGGCATCTTAAGGATTTTTGATACTGATAGCATGAAAAGCTTCATTCGACAACTCAACCTCTACGGATTCAGTAAAATACGTAAAAATATCACTTTGCCTCATTTTCAAGCAGAGAAAAACAGAACCAGAGCAAGAATACTGGTAAAGTAGTAGAAATCTATGTTTTAAATAATTTCCTTGCTTTACATAAAGGGACACATCCTTGAGTCTCCGCCTTTGTGCCCTTGGCATAGCTCAGGAGAAGGTGGGGTACAAACATGGCTTTAAGTTATCTTTGTTCTGCCCCAATTCTTGAGCAGGCAGATACTGGGTGAGTCACATGACATAACATAGAGCAGCATGACGGATGCCGTATATTACACCAATTGCCCAGAATTCCAAGGAGCTGTTCCAAAAACCTGGGATGACTGGGGCACAGGGACAACTGGGCTGTGACGAGTTGGGTGTTCTGTCTGTACCACTTATGAATTTTGGATGATTTTATTAAATTGTATCATGAAATTACTGTGTCATAGAAAGCCTCTATGGATGTGGCTCCCCCGAGGTGAACAGGGTTGTGTCATGTCTCTGCCCCAGGCTAGAGCCAATGATGAATGATCAGCACTCAACGATTGTCTATTGGGACAATAGGTTTGCTCTGCCTCGAAGAAGACACTTTCTCCTCTTGTCTGAAGGGAAGGGGGTTTAGGTAGGCAGAAAAACAGAAGCAGGTGATCCAAGCAGAAGTCTATAAAGGGACTCGTGGGGGTAGCTGGAGGAAGAGAGCCATTTTCCACCAGATTAAGATGAGGGAGATTGATGTAACCTGCAGGGGCTGGGTAAGTTAGGTAAGGGGATGGGGGAGCTTTCCTGTCTGTGGGAGCACATATGATCCCCCAAGGAAAGGGTGAACTAGTGAGGAACATTG